TTCTGTGTTTCTTATCACTTTTCATGATTTTGAAAAATAATATTCCACCCTGTTGAAGTCCCATCATCTAATTATTATACCATTTGATTAGTGTTAGATTGTTTTTATATTGTTATACCTTTTAGGCAATTGTATTTTTGAGAAGTTCTGAAATTCGGTGAGATTTAAACACTGGTGGAATAAAAAAACAGTTGGGGGCCGGCCCTGTGGCTTGGTGGTTAAGTGCACGCGCTGCGATGCTGGTGGCCCGGGTTCGGATCCCGGGTGCGCGTCGAGGTACCACTTCTCCATCCATCCTGAGGCCGAGTCCCACATACAGCAACTAGAAGGATGTGCAGCTATGACATACAACTGTCTACTGGGGCTTTGGGGGGAAAAAAATAAAATAAATAAAATCTTTAAAAAAAAAAAAAATAAAATAAAAAAAAATAAAAAAACAGTTGGTAGGTGTGACCTCCTTCTTCCATTGTCTTTGCCGTGTTCCCCAATAGCTTTGGATGAACAGAGATACCTTCTGCAGACTCTTGAGAATATAGCTTAGAAGAGTCAGGGAACATGAGCTTGCTGAAGGGGCAGAATCTTTAGATACTATAGAACTGGGCCTTCTGGATTACTCTTTTATAATACTTTCTATTCTTAGGGCTCCTAAATCTTGTAGGTGAGGGGATTAATGAACCCATTTCAACAATCCAGGTGATGATAAAGGCCTAAACTGGGTAGAGCAGAGAGTGGATTTAAGTGATGTAAAATTGAAGTAGAATAGACAGGACGTGGTGGCCACATGGATATTGGGGATGAGGGCAAAGGTGGCATTAAAGATGATTTGAAGGTTTCTAGCCTGTGTGACTGGATGGCAGTGTCTTTAAGCAAGATAGAGGCTATCAGTTACAGGAGTAGGAGTTAGTTTGGTAGAAAATAGAATATTTCATTATCAAGACATCTGAAAAAAGTTTAATTCTCCTGTAAGTATAGGATGATAGGTTCTACTTTTGTGTAATGGATAGTTTCATGTCTCAGGATGCAAAAGGTAGACACAATTAGTTTGAAAAATTGCTACTCTGAGGTTACTTCTGACTAAAGTGGAAGAAAGGGGACGCTTTGGCGAAAGTGACCATGCTGTTTCAGACTTTGTCATAGCCTGGGTGTAGGCAGAAATATGGCCTCACTTTGTGAGAGATTTCAAAAAGTTCAAAGGAAAGGGGAGCCTCCATGATGGGGGTCCTAAGGAGAGGCAGGCACCCAATCTCTATTTAGAAGAGTCTGAGGGAGGACCAGCCTCTCATGGCCAGCACTGAGGTGAAGGACTAAGGAGCTTGACTGGATTGGGCAGGAGATATTCTTGGAAGGAGTAGAGCGGGTCAAGCAAGATCAGCTGAAGCTACAACGCAGCACTGGGATCAGGTCGGAGGGACTCAAGCAAGGCTGGAAAGAGATGAGCAGAAACGGGTACACTGTGAAGTTACAGGCCATGTAAGGCTCTGCCTACCACGTGGTGAAGGCTCAGCTGGGGCAAGAGGACCACAAAAGGTGTTCCAACAGTAGGTCAAAAATTGGTCCAAATAGGAAGAAAAGAAGGAGTCGCTAAAGAAAATAAAGTCACGAGACAGGGAATCGACTCTCCAGTGAGTTCTGATTTGAAAAGAACCTGATCAAAACATGGGAAAAAACAAGGAATAGAAAAGCCAGGCAAAGGACTCTTAGAAGAGCGTTCTATTGGCTGAGGAAATGAGAGAAAAATGTCAGATGATGTTATAATAAAATGATGAGCTTTTTAGGAATGTTTTAAGAACGAATAAGGAGATGTGGGCACACTGGTAGGGATAGGAGGGGATAAAGACGAGAGCTGAGAACCGAAGAGCTGGTTGATTTTTATAGCAGAGTGGATACTAAAAGGATTTTGGAGAGCTGGCAGCAGCGCTAGGGATGATGGAGAATCGGGCTCAGAAAACGGCCAGCAACTGGGACAATAGCCAAAATTAAGCCACAAAACTAGTCTGGGAAGGTGCTGGCTGTTGAGGCTGTTAAACACTGGATGTCATAATCCATTTTGCCACCTGCACTGGGCCTTGGGTGCTGCCAGTCCCATAATGGATGGCAGGGTGAGTGTCTCTGATGGAGGTTAGTTGACCTACCCCCCTCCAACTGCAAGGAAGTTGGAGGAGCCAGGTTTAGGCACATCACAGTCTATGATGGGAAATGAACTCCACTTCCATCAAGGTGGAGAATTGCTCAACCAGTGGAAGGGGCATCGGGCCAAATTAAAAACTCACTTCAGGTTGCAGCAAGGAGACTAATGATAGCGAGACCAGTCGGGGGGAACTGTAATCGTTTTAGAGAAAAACGAAGAGGGCCTGGGCTCTGTCAGTGGCAGTGGGAATGGAGAAGAGGGTACAGATTTTAGTGAGAGTGCAATAGTAGAATGAAGAGAGTTTAATGATGAATTAGATGCAGAGGTGAAGGAGAGCAGAGTATCTAAAATGCCTTTTGAATGCCTGTGGCTTCAGGAATTGGATGAGTGGCAAGCTGTTAACCAGGTTAGGTCATCCAGAAGGAGGGGTATGTTTTGGGAAAATGTAGGTCAGTCATTTTTGACATGCTGAATTTGAAGTGTTGGAGAGACACACAGCCAGGGATAGACAATGGACGCATTGGGATGCCATTTTCCTAAAGATGGTAACTACCCAGTGGTATGCTGGTAAACGACTAACAACAGGGTCTCCAGGGCAAAGAAGCTCTGATTTGTAGTATTTTTCTATTTCTGTGGTGTAAATACACCCACTATGGCCAATTTCAAGCTACCCAGGTGAGGTTACTGAAAATGGATTTGGAAAGAGATGCACACAATCAGCAATCAGGAGCCCATTGAAGGGCCCAGCACACTATCACAGCTCTGGGTGAGGATGAGTTCTCCCAGACAGAGCAGAACCCCAAGAACAGAATCTTCAGTGGCAGACTGAAGAAGAAGAGCTCCTACAAGGCACAGGCATTGTCAGAAGGAAAACCAAGAGAATTGGCACTTCACGATCAAGCTTGGGCCCTGCCAAGCTCTCCAGAATTAGCTTCTATCATTCATTCATTTTCTTAGCAATCTCCTACTAGACTATTTGAGGGAAGAGACTAACTCAGCTGTGTCCTCTAGGTATAGCACACAATAGGCACTCAGCAAAAAAGCCCACTAATACCTTAGGGAATACTTATGTCCACCAGTTTCATGAGGCAACACAAGAATAACTGGATATATATGTACAGAGAGACACTCTGGCTCAACGTAAGAAAAAACTCCCTAGCAATTCTTTAAGTAGACACCTCGTTCTGTCTGTTCCACACCACTTCCATTCTTCTAGGAAATGTTACCCTACATTCCAACTGGGAGGTTCTCAAAGCAGTCACTGTTTTCTACATGAATCTACCAATTAGCCCAGCACCTGACCCAGCTGGGGTTTTGGAATCAGAACTTGTAGTTTCTCACATGACAGAAGCTGCGGGAGAAGAGGCAGCAGAGGAGGCGTCAGCATCCAGGATTTTCGTGAAGCTAGTCTCTGAAGGAGCAGCAGTGAGATTCCCAGCAGCGATCCCCTGGTTCCTCCTTCATTCTTAGGTCCAGCCCTTTCTTCAATGACATTACATAGCCCCACAGGCTCCCAATAAATTTCCCCTCACCTGAGCAGAAGCTGAGTTTCCGTAGCCTGCAACCAAGAGTCCTGATTAATACCCAAGCAACTCTCCCAACATGTGATGTTGTCATCTGTGCGAAAGTAACGGGTTCTTCGCTGAGAGTATTCATGCACAGTTTGAATGACCACTTGAAAGGGGTTTAAAAGAGGGGATTTCTGCCAAGGGTGGTAGCCCTCATATAACAGCAGCAGGAGCAGCGACCCTCTGAGTGCTTGCTACGTGCTAGGTACTGTGTGGTAGCTAAGTGAGCAAGCTGGGTCTGATCCAGGTTTGTTAAGACTTCAAAGTTCTTAATTACTAAGCTAAAGGTTCTCAAACTTTTTAGTCTCAGGATCCCGTATGATCTTAAAAATTGAAGACCTCAAAGAGTTCTGTTTGTGTGGGTTATATCTACAGATATTTACCATAATGGAAATTAAGACCAAGAAACAAAAGATTTGAAAAGAACAAATCTCATCACGTTAACATAAATATTTTTATTAAAAGTAACTATTTTTCAAAACAAAAAAATTATTAGAAGAGTGGCATTGTTTTACATTTTTGCAAATCTCTTTTATATCTGACTTAATAGAAGACAGCTAGATTCTCATGTCTGCTTCTTCATTCAATACGTTGCTGTGGTTGAAGTATATTTTAAAAAGCTGGCCTCATACACACATGCCATTGGAAAAGAAACTTCATGAACTTCCCCTCCTGAAAGGGTTTCAGGCACCCTCAGGAGTCCTCACACCATACTTTGAGAACCACTGCAGTAGACTATACTGCTTCACAGTTAAAGACTCTATATAGCCACTGAATTAGTATTAGAACCGGCAGTTCCTTCAAGGGCCAAGTCATTTTAAACAAATTGCAAATGGTGGTGGTGGTGAAGGAAACTTGAATTTCTTCTGTTAATTCAATTTTAAGTGACGCCAATTTTCAACGTAAGTTCATAAATTATTCTCTTGCCAGCCAAGATTACACATTAGATTTTTTCAAGTTTACTTTTCTAGACTACAAAGAGAAAGCAACCTCATACACAAAGTTAACATTTGGATCGTGGTTTTACAGTTTACAAAGCCAGTTTTTGTGCCCACATGATGCCAGTTAGTCCTTAGAAGCCACTTTATAGAGAAGGAAAGCTTGGAGCAGAGAGGCGACTTGCCCAAGATTGCCATCAGTAAGCAGGCTGTGGACCAGCTTCCTCGGGACCAAGCGAGTCGCTCGCAGGACAACTCTGCCCTGGCTCTAACGAACAAACATCTCACTTTCAAAAGCTGGCTTTCCAACCCAGGAAGAGGGACCCTCTATGGTCACTTTTTTCACATACACAAGGGACAGCATCTGTTCTAGAATCCAACTGGATTTTATTTGACACAGAATACAATATGGCTGCAGGAAGAGCAAACTGAAAAGACAAAGCAGAAAAGACACGGTTCTATCTAACTTATAATTAACAGGAAGGCAAGTCATTAAATGAATAACAAAACGGCTGAGCTTGATGGAAGAATTCTCTTTTTCTAGTGCCCATACCTGAAAGACAAAGTAAATCACTTTATTAATTCCTTAGTAATTTCCTGTTTGAGACTATAAACCCTGCGTAAACATATGGGCAAACTGAATTAAAACTTTAAAAGATGTAAGTGACCACAGTGCACTCAAGATTGGGTTATGACACTGGTCTGTGCCCCTTTCATCTTATCATCTTCGTAACATCTTACCTACCACCCCCTTCTTAATGACAGTCCCTCCCTGAGACTCAAGCACACCCTCTGGACTCTCCTTCCAGTTACCAGACAATGCTCGGCAGTACCAGGGAGGTGAGAGGGAAATATCAGAGCTGGTGGTTGGGAAAGGGAGCTCCATCTGTGGGCTCCAGTCAGCAGCTCAGACACAGTTTGAGCTCTCAGCCTCTCCTACCTATTTTCACCTCAACTCCAGGACTCAGGCAAGTTTGGGGTAAGGCAAATACAGAGAACAGTAACTGATCAGCCTTCAATTTTAAAATCTATCACCAGTTCCACTTACAGCGCTGATTACATTCACCACTATGGAAAGAGAACTGTGGAGAAACCAGGTATGGATTTCAGGTGGTTTCTGATGTTCCCAGAAGCCAAAATTTGGCTCTAACAAGATTATAAAAATAAACAAGGCCAGGAAATTTCCTCCACATATAAATGGATTTCTTGAACACAAAATCTTTCATTATTATCTTACTTAATCTTTTGTCCTGGTTCTTTTGGGGCAGTGGCCTCTGATTAAAATACTCTGTTATGTGGACGGAAACCAGGGCACTAGAACTCTGGATCACTGTTCAATCATCCTAAAGGACTACTAGATCCCACAAGCACTTCTCATAAAAAATCCACTTGAATACTGTCTAAAAAATTCCACACAGGGTAGGGCTCCAGAGTGTGTTAGTGGGCTGTCGAACCACCCAGAAGTTGTCTATCAGAGTAAAGCATGCCGTAATCTGTTCCTTATGAATTTGTTTTCCCAATGCACTGACAACCACTGGCCAAGTCACCAGTTGGATAAAGTAGCAGTGACAAAGTCCAACACGAGGAATTCTTCACACTCCCACTTCTTAGGCTCAGCCCTGGGCATATTTAATGGGCAACACGAGACAGTTTTGGTCCAAAACGGAACCCTGAGCCTACTCTAGGGCAGAGCCAGTTACAAAGCCTCTTGAGAACTTAGAAAAGTGCTTCTGCCTTGACATGTATTCCTGTCATGGTTCCTCTCAGAACGCAAGCTCCCCAAGGAAGGGAAGGACTGTCTCATACATTTTTACATCTCACATTACTTAGCAGACACATTGCTGAATAGCACGCAACGGGATATGAGTTAGGTACTAAGTATTGGCAGGTTTTTAAAAAAATGAACACACATTTGATAAGACTCCAAAATTCTTCACCAAAATAAATAACCAAGTCTAAAAGCAAAATAACTGTACCAAAAGAAACCAAAAAGCCATCTATTTCACAAACTAAAGAACCCTATTATTTGTTTTTTAAAGTAAGAATATCATATTAATCAAAACTTGTATTTAAATAAAAATCTCCCCATAAAAAATTTGATACAGAAAATGACCAATAATTCAACAGATAAAAAAAGGATGTTTCATAGAAAAAATATAAGAGGCATAAAAACATATGAAAATAGCCCAACCTCACTCAAAATTCAAAAAATGCAACTAATTTTCACCTATCAGAGTAGCTAGGATGGAAAAGTTTGATAACAGAGCCTTGGCAGGAAATGGAGAAAGGGGCATTTTGCTTCACTGTTTGGAGGGAGTGTAAATTAGTACATATTCTTGGGAAAGGAAAACCTGACACTATCAAAAATAAAAATGTGCACATTCTTTATCCAGAAATTCCTCTTTTAGGAATTACTGCTACAGATATACTTGCACATAGACACAAAGATTCATGTATAAGGATGTTCATCCCTACACATAGTTTTTAACAGTGAAAAACTGGCAACCCAAAAGTCTCTCAACAGGGACTGATTAAATAAATTATGGTACATTTACATAAAAAAATACTCTGTATCCATTAAAGAGGAGGTAGTTTGATATGTGTGGATATGGAAAATCTCCAAAGGTATGAAATGAAAAACTGAGGTGAATTAATCTAGCAGATGCTCATGTTTATGTTAAAAATTATATATATATACATATATATATACATCCACCCATATACAGGCAAGTACATATATAGAGACAGTCAAGACAGCTACTAAGAAGCTGTTGCTGATGGTTACCTCTGGAAATGAGAGTAGGAGACAAACACGGTAGACACATTTTTTTGGTATACCTTTTTGACCATTTGAATTTTCAAAAATTTACCATGTCATGTTTTACTTACATAATAATTTAGTTGAGATACCCATAAATGCCATATCAGAATTAATCAGCCTGAGATAAACCAATGAAACATAATAGGTGGATATAATTCTAGCCCAGAGCAAAGATATCTGACATTAATCAGCCCATGGAGGCTTATTATGAATGTGTTTGGAAATATTTAATAGTTCACAGATTTACTACTTTCACAGACCCTAGACAGTTGGGAAACTCTAGGCTGCAAACTCCTAAGGTTGGCCACACCTTTATGCATTTTCCACATAGATGAGTCCTTGTTTAATAAATCAAAAACTAGCTTATAAAACAAGGCATGTTCCATGTCTCCATCTTATGTTCCATGTCTCCATCTTCTAAGACTATGCACTCTCCAGCTTGAGGCGAGTCAAAGAATCGCACTGACCACAAAACCCAGTCTTACAACAGCAGAACAGCCAGACACCTACTTTTGGAATTCCCACTCTCTGTTGTCCAATGGACACACCTGCCGTGTTTTGAGCCAGCGAGAGATGCAGTGGAAGTGAAAAGCATGCTGAAAGAAAAGATACACTTCATTAAAATTAACTCTGTGCAGGCTCAGCCATCTGCTGACAATATGTCTCCAGAGCAGTGGACTGGTTACACAGAGAACAATGGGACAACAAACAAGAGAGGCAAAAGGTCAAAAACTGATCACACCTTGGTTAGGGACAAAGATATTTCCGATGAAACATTTGTTGGAAATGTCATTACTACTAAAGGAAGATAGTCTTCAGGAACCCAGCGTATGTTCTAGCAGGGAGCTCTCTCCCCTTCTCTTAAGGGAATATGCAATGCTGTTCTTGGTCCCATTTAGCTTATAAGGGGATGCTTCTACTTTCCTGGGACACAGGCAAAGAGGTCCTTGATCACACGCAGATTTCAAACTTCACATTCTTGATCCCCAACTGCCCTCCCCCATCTGTGGAGAATGGGAACCCCAGGAGAAGAGCCTTCTCCTCAGCCCTTGGTGGTGTACTGCCACTGCCACCCACACAGAGCTGAGACAGGCACTTCCCCAACCTTCCCGCAACCAGCTCAACTCTGTTCAAAGTACTTAATTTCCAGATTTGTTCAAAGACATACTGCTATTATAAGAGCTCAGTACTCAATAAGCCTTTAACGGGTCAGGGACTTTGTCTTAAAAAGGAATGAGATAAAAAATTAGGGTAAAAGGAAGTATTATGATGGGCAAACTGCACACAAGCAGCTGAAAGAGCATCAAACGGCTTATTTCATGATCAAGACAGGAAGTAAAAGGCAAGAGTTCCAAGAATACTGGTAACTGACAGGGAGCTAGGAGCTGACTTTCAGATTTGGGGAGAAGAAAAACCTGTGTTTGGTTTCCCAGCATGAGTTAATGACATGCAGATGCTAATCACAATACCTCTGCAATACCTTTATGCTCCTCTCCCTGCTCAGATGAGGAGTATCAGATAGAAGCAGCAAGTGTTTCCCCCCATCTAATCTGTGATGGGTGGGGGAGGTGAGGATAGGGGAGAAATGCTGACACCCCAACCAAACAATGAAAGCTTTTGCAAGCTTGGTTTATTAACAGCCTTGAAATTCGGTCAGTATGTCTCCCAAAACATGCATGGAACTTAAAGAAGAATCTTGGTGTGGACGGTTATCTTGTGAATTGTCTTGACAAAGACAAAAATAGAATTCAGTAATTAAGAGTGGAATCCACAGCTAACAGACTATAGATAATCAACAGGACAAATACTCTCCCAGAGTGACAGCTTTTGGAAGATCCCTTTCCTGTTGACTCTCATACAACTCACTGTGAAAAAGAGAAAAAACAAAATTTCCAAAAGGCAGAAAGCTGAGGCATTTTTCCCCATCACCAGGTGGTGGGGACAGGCTCACTTAAGGATATTCAAGACACCCGTCTCCACCACCCACCTCCACCGTTAGGCACTCTGTAGTGGTACGGGGTCCTTCTGTACCCCAGCTTCCTCAAAAGATGGAGGGAAAGAGGGGCTGCAAACGAGGCTGCAGAGCAGGTGAAAGCATCCCCAAATATTCCTGATCTCAACTTTCCTCTTGTTAATAATCTGTTAGATTAATGGGTATATTGAGCAGTCTCCAAGTACCCTGACTAGTGCTGCACAGTTCACAGGAGGTGTTAACACATATTACCTCATCTGAGCCTCACAGCAAGCCTGGCAAGCAAGCATGACAGGTATTATCATCTTCACTTTACAGACAGGAACTGAAACCCAGACAAGTTAAGTGACTTGCCTAATTCATGGAGCCAGTTAGTAGAAGAACCAGAACTAGAACCGAGGACTAGTCCAAAAGTTTCTGCCACACCATGCCAGCTCTTCTTCACGCCAGGCTCTCTGAGCTAGTCTCTCCTTAGCCAAATTTAAGGAGAAGTTCACTCCCCTTTCCTTCCACCACAAAGTAACATGGTTCTGGGGCCAGCCTGGTGGCGCAAGCGGTTAAGTGTGCACAGGTTGCTGCGGGGGCCCGAGGTTCACCGGTTCCGATCCCCAGCGCGCACCAACACACTGCTTGTCGAGCCGTGCTGTGGCGGCGTCCCATATAAAGTAAGGAAGGTGGGCACGGATGTTAGCTCAGGGCCAATCTTCCTCAGTAAAAAAGAGGAGGATCAGCATCAGATGTTAGCTCAGGGCTGATCTTCCTCACAAAAACAAAAACAAAAAAAAACACAAAGTAATATGGTTCTTAGTATACACCTGACTGCCAGGGAGAGCAGAGAGCCCGATACATTTTCTTTCTTTATCCCCATAAATGACAAAAGCTGTCCCTTGGCCAATACGGGCTACTGTGAAACTGCTCAAAGGGCCCTGCGGGAATTAAGGTACACCACAAGTGAGGTAGGGAAGAGAGCCTCAGCCCAACAGGGAAAGTACTGATAGCTACTATCTCTTCAGCTGCTAACCACCACCACCCCAAATTTGTATTTATTCATATTTATTTAAGAAACCCTTATGTCTACTATGTGCCAGGAGGTGTTCCAAGCACTTTTAAACAAAATCATTTCATCCTGATTACAACTCCATGCAGTCTACCATCAGCCCCATTTTACACGAGGGGATCCAGGCTTAGGGAGGTCAAATCTCTTGCCCAAAGTCACTTGGCAAGTAAGTCACAGAGACAGGAATGGTGTCCCGACTCCAGAGCCTCTCAGGCCTGCACCATGCTGGGAGCTGTGGGTCCTCTGCCCCCTCGGCACAGGAGGCCTGGACAGGACAATTTTAGCTTATGTGACTGGGACTGTAAGGCTATAGGATCAATTTTTAACACATGCTAGAAATAACATATTTGACGTTTGTTATCCTTCTCAGCTGTCATACCCTGGAAGGCTGTACATTCAGTCCAACAATGCTACACAAAACAATTCTGGCATGAGCCATGTTAAAAAAAACAAAAAACCCCAACTTAGTACATTTGCCACCTTAAAACACACACACACACACACACACACACACACACACACACACACACTTGAACACTCAATTTATTCACCAAACTTAGTTCCACAAGACATCCAGCCTTAAAAAAAGATCTGTTAAGAAGGTCAAGATTGGGGCCAGCCCGGTGGCATAGCGGTTAAGTGCTCGTGCTCTGCTGTTGGCGGCCCGGGGTTTGGATCCCGGGCACACACCAACACACCGCTTGTCAGGCCATGCTGTGGTGGCATCCCATATAAAGTGGAGGAAGATGGGCATGGATGTTAGCCCAGGGCCAATCTTCCTCAGCAAAAAGAGGATGATTGGCAGATGTTAGCTCAGGGCTGATCCTCCTCACACAAAAAAAAGAAGGTAAAGATTTCCACCAAGAGGAGAACATTCCAAAGACTGCCGTAGGCTTTGAAGGCAATTCCTAAAGGTGAATCCCCAAAATGTTGCTAACGAGGTGGGTCCACTTTATAATTAAGAAAACACGAGTGCCTCTGCAATACCTAACAATTTTTACCCTATAACAGGTGAATAGTACAAAGATTTAAAATCTTTTTTACAGTTTGTGTACCTTTTGGGAGAAAGATGGGCTAGCCATTTTTTTTCCTAGTTATTCTCAGGACTGGCAAAGCAGGAAAAGTGGTAATATGTTTACAAGCCATGCTGAGAGGGAAAGGTGTTTCCTTACATTACAGACTCCCCACGCAACGGTGCACTCTTCAGAAGTAGCAGATGCCTGGTTCGCTTGACATTCTATGCCTGTGGGAACAAGAACAAGATGACTGGACCTCAGGTGCAACAGCCTTTCAATCTACAGCAGCCCTACCTGCACAACTACATCATGATGTGATGGGGTGGGGTGGGGGTGGTGTAAACCTGAACAAAATCTCAAGTGGTTATTTAGTCCTAATTGTTTTTTAATGAATGGGAAAAGAGATGAAGAACAGAGAAGGCAGAGATGGGACTTAACAGTATGCTTTGCAATGACTTCCTGTCCTCATTCAAAAACAGAGGAAGGAACAGGCACTTTTTAATTCTGAACATAACCTGCCTTGTCCAAATGAAAATGACGCCTCCTAATTTGGTAAATTTAGTAAATTCTTGAAGCCACCTCATAACTCTTACTGTTTTGAGACTTGGCGTCTTCTCCCTATTCTTGGTGAATGCTTCCTCTTAGGCCCTTAGAACACCAAGGCTTGCCCACATGAAGGCCTAGCTGGGTAACGAGTTCCAATCCCTAAAGCAGGCAGGCAGACACATGTGAACTGGGACAGAAGCAAAACAAAAGGGGGTGGAGAGGCCTGTGGCAAACTGTAGCGTATGCTCTGCGTGACGGCATCAAAACTCAAAAGTCTTTAAAACACTGTCAAATAAAACACATCTGCTAAGCCAGCGGGTTAGAGATTTGGGGCCCACCACTTTGTGATGCTTATTGCCCCGGAGGTGGTTCTGTCTGGTGAACAGAACAAATTACTGCAAATGTATCCAAATATCAATTTCACAGAGGGGGAAGAGAGGGGAACTGAAATAGAATAAAAATCTGAGACCCAGAACAGATGAGTAAAGCTCTATGGGGGATAAATATTCAAGGAACAAGAATTACTAATGTATAATTTGCTTTCTCTGAAGGTGGTAACTAAATGGGAGTCTCTCTTGTGAAGAATAAAAAGCTCCAGGAAAGACTATTTAATAGGAGACAATTACTTCAGACTTACATAGGTGGAAAATAGTAAAATTGTAAGAAAACAATGCCGAGATGTTAATGGGTATATTTGGTCTTACGGGAAGAGATATACTATAATAAGGTTTTTTTTTTTCCCCAATCGTCAAAGATATGAAAGGCAAAGGATCTGAAATCACAGAGCTTGCTTCTGCTACCCAGATTCACACGACAAAGAGAATAGCTGGGTTTTCCTTCTGATAAGAGTAGAGAATTAGGGTTTACACAAGACTGATTCAAAAATTTATTGGGGCTATGAATGCACTACCACATTCAAAGGTATGGCAGAAAAAATAAAATCTGATGTCCTTCAGTTGGATCCTCTCACTCAGACAATGACTACGTATTATGAAATTAGCTAAATAAGAGGCCCAATTATTACTATTTAATAACAAAACTGTTTCAAGGTACATTATCATGTTAAATTTTTCTAGGTCTTGGTATTTTTAAGGGACTATGTCTTCCCATGCCAAGTGCACAGTAGGCTCTTAGTGCTTGAATAAGCAAACAAAACCCAATTCTATAACAGAGATAATGGGGGACACATATATATTTATTCTTTACCAGAAAGTTCCTAACGAAGAACAAAAATACATAGGAGGAATAGGATTATAATCTAGAGTGCCAGATAAGAAGGGATATGGCATGAAAAATTATTAAATATGAGTATAACATGTTCTCAAATATAATGTTTTCAAGCTTTTGGTGCAGAGAGCAAGTACAGCAGTTGAGTCGTTAGTTTAACAGAGGAAGGAACTGTTCACATCAACCTAGAGCAGAAAGACAAGTAGCACATCAAAGTTCCTGTCACACCTCTGCAAAGGCAGAAGCTTACTCCATGTGATGGATAAAGCTCGGGGACTTTGAAACTTCAATACCACCAAAGGACTGCTAAGGAAGCAACAGCTTCATCTCAGAAGAGGACAGATTTCACACTTTCAAAACATTGATGGACCTGGGGTTTTAGGAAGAGACTAACTTCTCATGGGCAAAGGCTGGGTCACAGCCCTTCTGAATGTCCTCTTCATCTGGAACAAGATTACCAGAGATAATGCAGAAAATAACACCCGCAGATTGTGTATTTCAGCAACTCTTTAAGACAACCAAGAAAGGGGCAATGTAGAATAAACACGAAGCTGTAGTAGGGATGTAGTATCAATTTGGACTCAAAAGAGCAAGTCTTTAGACCAAGAATGCTTTGTAGGCAAGTCCACCTGGGGCACAGCCATAGTCACTCATTTATTTACAGCTATGTATATCACTATTTATTTAATGCCAGACCAGAATTTATTAGAAAATGGCCATTGCTATAGCAAGATTCTTATTTTCATCTTTAACAAAAAGTCTGTTTACAAGAATCATAATCCATTTATTTTTAAAAGGAAGACAAGCCCAGCTGCGGCAAACAGACTTCTCTTTAGTGTCTATAATAAACAAAAGGGTATGTTTCTTAAGGGTAAAGGCTTGATCTCAGTCACTGTTTTATCCTGGTGCCTAGCAAAATGCCCAGGATATAAATATTCACTGAATGAATAAAAGACATAACTTGAAAATACTTTCATAACTTTTTGTTATAGGAGGTCAATATTCTACTACTTCATCTGACATTTAAAATATACGATAAAGCAGGTTTGTAACTGAAAGCCTACGTTGATCCCTCAAGCGTTCAACTCTAAGAGAAGACATTCTATCAATGGCCTTTGTCTGTCGTGGTCCTCCCAAGAAGTGCATTCTCTTACGTCCAGAGGGACACAATGACCTAAATATAGAGGGAGAAAAAAAATCAGGGTTCTATAAAATTGTTAATTATGTACAGAGGAGAGCCCCAAGAGAGTAAAATTTTCTCTGGGCATAACTCCTTGAGAGAAGGCAAGGAAAAGAAATTGGCAAGCATGTAATCAAAGACCCCACCCAAACACATTTAAAACTGCCCATGTGTTTTTCTGTGATGGGTTCCTTCTATCTATATTAAACATCATGGTAGCTGCTGATCTGCTTTGAGTGCTGTGTGAAAAGGTAAACAGGGTCAAAACTCAAAGAAACCAAGGGCAATAAACTACCAACACATGCCACGATTGCTTTCCAACACCAAATATTTGATTTGTGCTTCTCAAGTTGGAATGATGAGTCTATTCCCCTATTTTGTATTTTTATTATTCACTGAGCAAATATTTAATTAGAATCTGCTATGTACTGGACACTATGGTAGATGCTGGGAATCCAGCAGTAAATAACATGGACACGAGAGAGAACCAACTAAGTTAAATCACTGCTACAAAGGAAACTATAGGATGTCTTGGGAATATTTAACAGAACTATCACAGCCTGTGTCTGTGTGTATGTAAGTATGGTCAGGAAAAACATTTTTGAGCAAGTTCAAGGTGAGATCTGAAGACCAACCTTAGGTTAGTTCTGCACTGCTCAATAAAGTAGCCACTAGCCACATGTGGCTACTGAGCACTTGAAATGCGGCTAGTCTGAATTGAGATGTGCTATAAGTGCAAAAACCACTTCAAAGACAGTAGGGGAACAAAAGAAAGTAAAATATTTCACTTTAAAATATTAATGACATGTTGAAGTGAAAATACTTTGGATACAGCAGGATAAATAAAATACAAATCATCTCTTTTTTTTTTGTGAGGAAGATCAGCCCTGAGCTAACATCCCTGCTAATCCTTCTCTTTTTTGCTGAGGAAGACCGGCTCTGAGCTAACATCTATTGCCAATCCTCCTCCTCTTTTTCCCCAAAGCCCCAGTAGATAGTTGTATGTCATAGCTGCACATTCTTCTAGTTGCTATATGTGGGACGCGGCCTCAGCATGGCCAGAGAAGCAGTGCGTCGGTGCACGCCCGGGATCCGAACCCGGGCCACCAGTAGAGGAGCGCGTGCACTTAACCACTAAGCCACGGGGCTGGCCCCTCATCTGTTTCTTTTCACTTTATTAATGTGGGTATGAGAAAATTTTAGATTATATATGTGCTTGCATGTGTGGCTCACATTTAGATTGGACAGTGTTGGGTTAGACAAAGGTAATGGGGAAAAGAGGCAGAGAATATTCCAGGCAGAGGGAATAGGATATGTAAAGGCTCTAAAGAAGAGCATGCACACTTCGGGAATGGAAAGAAAGCCAGAGAAACTACCAGAGTGAGCAGGAGAGTGGCTCAAGATGAAGCTGGAGAGGGAGGCAAGTGATTTAGGAACTAAGTGCCTATCATTTCATTCTAGAAAGTTGAAATTTCTTTGCCCCATTTCTGATCTCAATAACAAACCATTTTAGTACCTGGATGAAAAAGTAACCTCAACTGTTCCTGGTGTGATCAACATTCTTGCCTCTATTACTACAAGGATACTCAGTCAGTCCATCAACAGCTATCATCAAACCTGCTATGTGTAATGGAATATGTGGAGATTTACATGAAACTTCTTTAGTGCAGTTAATTGCCTATTTAGATGTTGGCAGTGATGTCCTCTTAACTCTGTCTGGGGCTAACACTGAAAATCCTTCCTTCTTAGGCTTTTCTTTATAAATCTTACCCAGCAAAAACTAGCTCTAGATAGAATATTTTAGCTCAAAGTTTATTTTCTTTCTTTCTCTATTTCTGCCTTTGAGTCTGGGTATAAGATGGGAAATACAGAGGAATAACCAACAGTGCCTCTGTGTCCATAATTCACTCTAAATGTGGCCTTGCCATCTTTAGATGGAGTAGATTTATTTGAGAGATGGGTATGCCTCCAGGACATCATAAAAACTACTCTATTTCAAACATACCAATGGACTACATGCAGAAGAGCCCTTGTGAAGAAGAAAATTGGTCACATCAGGATAGCCACAATCTCTGTAACCTTCTCAACTTCCTCCCATCCTCCTCCAATTACTTACAAAGATCCATAATGTGGTTCCTGCAGATGGCACAGTTATCAACCACAATATCCCAGGCCCAGAGGGCTACCGCATTCCACTGCAAAGAGAAAAAGGGGGAACAATGCACTCTACTCTCCTTGTAACACACACACACACTCACACTCTAGGATTTCATGCTGCAGCTGCAATTATCATCTCTTTGGCCACAAGGACCACCAAACAAAAGAGCCTGGGGATACTACATTACTCTTATTTATTATGTCTGAGGGCAAAAGTAGGCTACACATATGCTCATTTATTCTCCAAACAGTTGAGTATATAAACACAAAAATTAATGAGTCATCTTTTAATTTTATTTTTTCCTACAGCTTAAAATAATTTAGTCAGCCATATCAACGTAAGCATAATTTGTAAGTGCCTGTTTTAGGTTTAATAAGCACAAACTTGAATTACTGTGCAGGTTCCCCAGGCAGCTGCAGAAGAGCTCAATTTCTGCATAAATAAATATCTGTTCTTCAAGGCAGCTTTGGAAGCATGAGTGGGGAGGTGAAAGCTAGGAACAGAATGAACTAAGATGATGATTGGATCATAAAATGGGTAATCGTGGGATAAGCTGGATAACGAATTACCCATTGTCAGTGCAGAGAACAAGGTCATGGCTTCAATCTTAAAAGATTACTTCTCAACAAACTCTAGAATTCACTAGAATTTTGTTTAGTTCCTACCATCAAATAAACTACTGTTCTCAACTTTTACATGCTCAGACTCTTATATTTAGTTCAAATAATTCCATTAGGAGTTTATCTAAAAAGTGGTATTTAAGTAATTCAACCTTCTGGCTTCTGCAATTATAAATATTCCCAAACTTCTTTTCCATCCACTAATTTGATGCCACCTCCCAAACCTTCATCTCTTTCAATCCCAATTCTCAATGTCTAGTAACTTCTTCAGCACGTTTCACCCGACAGCTTCAACTTCGAGGAAAAAAATCCTACTTCTTTTATTCTTCAATATGGCTGCTGGCTGTAACTGAGCATGCAGTGCCCACAATGAAAAGCCAAAAAGCACTAGGAGGGGGAATACTGTCAGTATTCATCCAGATGTTCCAGGAATAACATCGTCCCTATTTCAGAGTCTTCATTTTGAACAGATTCACTTTATCTTAGGTAGGAATCGGCACTTTTCTCCCAAAGTGTTGGCAAACCACCATAAGGCGTTTCATGCAAAAAGACACGTTCCACATTTCTGCTTTCCCACTTCCACCAGGTCGTTCACAACTAGTACACAACCCTCCTTAAATGACACAAGATTTGGGCTCGCATTTTCTTTTTAACAAATTCCACCATGGTTTTTTTTTTTTTGGATGGGGGATTCTGGATATGACCACAGGACTGGGGCGGCTGTGTGGCAAACCAACAGACCTCTCAGAAGAGCCAAGAGTTACACTCGAGACACTAACTCGGCGGGGATGAAGGCCAGGGAGGTGGCTAATGGAGGCCTCGATTAGGTGAGGACCGGGTCGGGGTCCCTCAGAGTCAAGAGGGACCCCAAGCTTCGGAGAGGGGCGGGGCAAGGAGATCGCCAGCCCGGCTCCTCCGAGACCTCCAATGCGGTAGGACCTCAGGTTCCCGGCTTTCGCCGCACTGCCCCATCCTCCACCCACCGCACCACTCCGACTCCCCCTTCCACCCACCCCACCCTCTCCTTCCCCAGCCTTCCACCACTCCAGTGACAGCTCAGGCGCTTGGCTCCCGCAGCCAAGCCGCAACCCCGCGTATCTCAATAAGCACGTCCATGATTGGCCCCTCAGCCTCCGAACGAAACCAATGCTGCCAATGACAGTGGGCCCCAGTCACGCCGATCAACTCTAAGACCCGCCCCCCGGCTTCCTTTCGTGGTACCCGGTCTCAGGAACTCCCTGAAATGAAGCCCTTTCCTCTGCGCCTCGGTCATCCTAGGGCCTGCCAGCTAGATCCGCGCCTCTCTAGGTCCCCTGAGGAAGGCGCTGGCGAGACCCAACCTTTTTCACTTCAAAGCGCTTCTTGCCCGCGCCGCTGTTGGTGCCGCTCGGGGTATCCACATCCATCGCTGCCGCCATTTTGGAAACACACGGTCCGTCGTCCGGCCACTGCGCCTGCGCACCAGCGCACGCCTCGCTCCCCCTCCCGCCCCGGCGTCTCCTCCCGCACCTCCGCCCTTACAGGCGCGCGAGGGGCAGGTGGGGCGGAGCGTGTGGCCACGCCTCTTAAAGGCGCTGGCGCAGGTCCCCCCGCCCCCGTCGGCTGCGGAGGCGGCGGCGGCGGCTGGGGCGGGGCCGGGCGGGGCCGAGCCGACGTGAGCGAGCGGAGTGTTTCCGTTCGAAAGGACTCGCTCTCGTCGCCCTCCCCGGGGAAGCTCCCGGCCACACTCTCTCAGCTGGGGCGGCGGCTGCTTCCTCCGCCTCGGCCGAGACCTGCCGCCCCGGCCCCGCCTCGCCTTCCCGGCTGCCGCGCTCTCCCGTGCCAGCGGGGCTTCCGCCGCGTTCCGCCGCGGAAGGGGCGAGGGTGGACGCCCGCCTCCTGCGGCCGAAACCCGAGACCCCGCAGTGGCCTTTCGCAGTTCCTGACCCCCTTCCGAGTCAGGGCCGAGGTGCAGCCTCCCTGGGAGGCTTGAGGCCGGGGCCCGGGCACCGTTTGGTTTCCTGATTCCAATTCGGGGAATGCTCAGGATCCGACGGGGAGACGGGAGCTCCCCGAATGTCCTCCCCAGGGCCAAGCTGAGCAGGTATTCTCCAGCCCTGCCTTCACCTGCCCACCTGAAGTAGGTGGAGGATGCTAGGAGCCTGGGAGATGCCGTCTCTATGTCTCGCGAAATACCAATCCGTCCTAGAATGGGCTTTGGTTAAGGTACAGGATTTCAACTTCCCGCACATTCCCCGTTGAGCACACGTTCCCCGTTCCTCAGTTGGTCATCTAACTGTGGGGTCCTTTCTTCCTAATTTCGGTCGTCTTCCTGCTCCTTGTGCTGAAGTCACATCTACAGTCGCTGTACTTCTTGAATTTGTGTGAGGCATTCTGCCATTTAGTCTTACTGGTCATTCCTTCGCAGGCAAAGCACCTATACTTTACCTCACTCTCCCATTCCTAGACCAGGCCCCCCTTTTGCGTCTCTCACCTTGCAGAGATATGAGTCAGCTAGATCACTCTTACCTAAAAATCTCACATTTTCTCTTAGAATTCGAGAGTAATGGAGTGTGACTTCATTGGTAAACTGGAAGAACTTCCATTTGTTTCCTCGTCTTAGTCATAAACAAGAACAACAGATCCGTGAAACCACCACCACAGCTTTAACTGGACTCGGAAAGAGAAAAATTGTGTGAGACCTTCAAGCATTATAGAAACCCTACAAAGTTTTTCTTAGCCCAAGTTTTGTTAAATTAATGATTCCATGTTAAGATATCTGTCATCTAATTTATTGTGGTCCTCCAGGAATACTAGAAACCCATAGTAAATTAAGGTACTGAGGGCATATTTATTCATTCAGTGTACCAGGTCCTGTTATAAATAGGAGAGACACAGTGATGAAGGAGTCAAACTCCTAGTAGGGAAATAATACGTGAGTCAATAAATACATCAGAAAATCTCAGATATCAAGTGCTATGAAGAAGACAAAACAAGGTCATGAGATTGAGGGGAGATGGAAGCAACATTCAATTGGGTGATTAGGTAAGGCCTCTATGAGGAGTGACAGTTCAGCTGAAGTCCTTATGAGGGCCTAAAAGCCCTGTGTGATCTGCTACATTCATTGTTCTGTGCTTATCTTCTTCTTCTGTTTTTTGGCTGGAGGAAGATAAGCCCTGAGCTAACATCTGTGCCAATCTTCCTCTATTTTTATGTGGGTCTCTGCCACAGCATGGCTGGCAAGTGGTGTAGGTCCTTGCCTGGGAACTGAATCTGCAAACCTGTGCCACCAAAGCGGAGCATGCCAAACTTAACCACTATGCCACAGGGCTGGCCCCTCTTCTTTTTTTAATGGTACAGTTACCTTCTAACACATTTTTTCATTTATTAGAGTTATTGTTTTTTCTGTGTGCTCACCAAGAGAGGAGATTTTTGATTGTTTTGTTTACTGGTAACAAAAACTGGAACAGTGCCTGGTACATAGTAGGTGCTCAGTATGTGTTGAATGAATAAATCGGAAGCTTATTGAGCAAGGGATGTGTGGTAAGAGATGTCAGACAGGTAGGCAGGGGCCAGATCAGGTAGGGATTTTATTGCAGATGTTGTGAGAAGGCATTGGAGAGAGAAAGTAGGGGAAGGGACTAACAGTGACATAATCTAAGTTTATAAAAATCTTTAAGCTTTGTGAAGAAGGGATTGTAGGGCTACATGAAGCAGCAACAATTTGCAAGTTGTTTCCTTTGCACCGAGCTACGGAGGGGAGATCGTAGGGGCGGTTCCATTAAACCTTGAAAACCTCATGTACTTATCTCTCTTTTGGAGATTTGCCTTACTGTGGCAATTGGCCATGGAATTCTGTATGCTAGGTTCTGCTGCTAAACCTAAGAAAACTTTTTGTGGACTCCATACTGATTCCTATCCTGCATAATTTCATTCCATTTACAATGCAATAGGTGGTAATTTTACTTTAGTTCTGTTCCTTTCATTTATTGATCCATTCATTCAACAAATATTTCTAAAATATCTACAGAACCTGCTGTGTCAACTACACCATGCTGGTCTAGAAAAAAAAGGCAATTGATATTTTAAGTACTTCCAAAAGGTCTCTTTCATCACTGAACTTATGGGGTAGTAGGAGAGAGGCAATAGTCAATTAATGATAATTCCAGTGAATTTTAGGAAAGGGAAAGTACAGGGTGCTTAGAAGCAGAAAGCAAGTCTGGGGAGTGGGAGGAAGTCCTCTTAGAGGAACTGGTTTGAGATTGAAGGATGAACCAGACGAATGGATGCAGTGGTATGCTGGTAAATGTTTAAAAACCACCTCTAAAAATAAAGTCTTGATTTGTAGCTTTAATAGCCAGATTGCAAAATTCCTGAAAGTTTAACAATTGCTCTTGTAAGCTGATGCAAGCTGGCTGTTAAAGCTACAAATCAAGCACTTGCACACAATGAGGGATGTGGAAAAAGAAGGCATTCCAGGTAGAGCCAACAGAGTGCAGAAAAGGCTGGAAGCTGGAGAATGCATAGTGCACTGGTAAAGAAGCCTGGAATGGCTGGAGTATAAAGAGAGAGAGAGTGGTATAAATAAGTCTGCAATGATGTGCAAGAGTCAATTGTTAGCATCTCCTCCCAATTCTGTATTTAGCGACATCATGTTGGTAGCTTCAAATTGGCCATAATAGTAGTATTTACACCATGGAGATTAGCAAACACTACAAATCAGGGCTCCTCCTACCCCTAGAGTTGATTGTTAAACATTTACCACTGGTAGGGGCCAGGTCTTGCAAGACTGTTCAGTAGAGCCATGCAAAAGGTTTGGGTCTTTATCCTTAGTGATGGGAAGCCGTTGAAGGATTCTAACCAGTGAGTCACATGGTCAGATATGTCTTTTAAAAAGTTCTAGGCAAGACTTCCACTTCTGGGAAGATGGAGTAGACATACTTTTCCCTATTATTCCCTCTGAGGATGACTGAAATCCCTAGACAGGGTATATTAAAAAAAAAAAAAAAGAAGAAGACTCTGAGAGGTGGAGAGAAGAAGGCAGACCAGTTAGGGATCTCAGGACTTGAGGAATGACATGGTAGTGAGTTCTCTGCGTTTTCTTTTTACCTCATACATCCCAGACTTGGAGCTGAAGAAGCTGGCAACCCAGAAATGCCAATAAGTGCAGATCAAAAAAAAAAAAAAAGACCCAACAAAAGGCTGCTTTCTCTAGCAAATGGAAAACTTGTAGACAATAACTGCCCTACTCCATCCAAACAATACAGAAGAAGATGTGGCCCACTCCCACCCATGCCAGCAAAGCTGTTGGGGAGTCTGTTTTGTACAGCTCGCAAGTCTGTAACCAAGTGCCCCGACACCTGTGCCAGGGGGGTGCAGGCTAATTAGGGAGTTGGAACTTTTACCCCTTCTGGCTGATAAGGTGCTGCTCTACACCTGTGGTGTAAGAGAGGACCACGAGGAGGTCTGGACCTCCACTCCCACCGAGCAGTAATGAGGCACCCCTTCCCCTCCCTGCTGGGATGGTATTGGAGGAGACCTAGTGGAAAGTCAAGGCTTTCACCAATCCTTATCCATCAAGAATGAGGCCATCCCCACTACAGTGTCAGTAGAGACCATGCGGGAAGCTAGAACTCCCACCCCTGCCCAGCAGTAACACGGAGCATCCCCACTCTTGGGTGTTAGTGGGGACCCAGTGGGGAACCTGGACTTCTACTTCCACCCTCTCCTGCTGGAGCAGTATCAAAAAAAGCCAGAAGGTTAAAACAGAAGGTTTAAATAAGACCCAGAGTCTCATAACATAGTATAAAGATGTCCAGTTTCAGTTGAAAATTGCTCAACTGACCCAAGACTCTGAGGTCTCAAAGTGAATGAAAAAAGCCTATCAATAGATGCCAACACCAAAATAGCAGAGATGTTGGAATTATCTGATAAAGATTTTAGAGCAGCAATGATAAAAAAATTTTCAATGAGCAGTTACACACAAGCTTGAAACAAATGAGAAAATAGAAAGCCTCAGCAAAGAAATAGAAGATATAAAGAAGACCCAAAAGGAAATTTTATAGCAGAAAAATGCAATAACTGAAATTAATATCTCAGTGGATGGACTTAATAGCAGAATGGAAGTGACAGAGGAAAAAAAATCACTAAACTGGAAGATAGAACAATAGAAATTAACCAGTCTGAACAAGAGAGAGAAAATAGACTGAAAAAACAAAACCAAAAAAACCTCCAGAGCCTCAGGGACTTATGGGACCATAACACTAGTCTAACAAAGTAAACTAAAAAATAGTATAACAAAGATCTAATATTTGTGTCATCAGAGTCCCAGAATGAAAGGACAAAGAGGGCCAGGCTGAAAAGGTAATTGATGAAATAATGGCTGAATACTTCTCAATTTTGGCAAGAAACCTGCAGATTCAAGAAACTGAGTAAGCCCTAAACAGTATAAACCCCAAAGAAATGCATGCCAAGACACA